CAAGTTTTAAGCCTGTCAAATCGAATTGTGTTTAATCAATTCCGTCTTTACTGGCACGACCTATAGATGTCACTACTCGCAGTACTTAATGGGGGAGTAAGGGGTGGTCTTGTGAACTTCAGCAATGTCTTCCTTGTCTTCCTAAGAAACTCGCTGGTGGAGTTGGATATGACTGACTGGAATTTTGTGAAACCGCCTTGTATCGTTTCCTACCTGTTATTCTTTTCCAAATATTTTTTTAAAATGTTAAAACACATGTCACGCTCGAAACGCTATGGAGAAAATAATAATCAGCCCGTAAGCAACTGAGCTGCCGCTAGGGGGACTTAAGGCACACCGGAAGTTATAGTATTGAGTGAAATTCTCAAGATTTACAAGGTGTCAGAAACGGTGAAATATCTGGTCTGTAAAGTTACTCAAAGTACTGTTATGCATTTTCTCATTTAAAAAAATAAATTTCAGCTGCGATGGGATGCATTTCGAGATGATCTAGGGCCGATTTTGTGTAAAAAGAATGAGTTTGAAATCGTAATTCTTTGAAAGCAATTTCACAAGTTCAAAGAAAATCGTGATATCGCATTTTGCAACCTGAAACATTTTGAAGTAAGAAACAGGTAGAATTGGAGTGGGGACGGGTTTGCTTCGACTAGGTACGCTAAAACTGGTCAGGTTGCCTCTGGGACGGGGAAAATATATATAATATTTTTCTCATTGGAATTTTCTAAACCATTAGAAGTTGAAACGTCAGGGAAGATATTGTTAGCTAGGTATGTACATGGGCACTTTTAAATTATTTGTAAATTGGGGTTGTGGCCGTTTCTAGTGGTGGTTGATTGTAATTTTTACATTGTATTTCTGTTATCTACCCTTATATTTTTAGAATTAGGGAATTAAAGTGTTGGAGATTAATACGTAGGCTAACTATCGTAAGAAATGTGCGTGGGCACTCCAGATTTTTCGTGACTTAGGGTGTGGTTGTCCCTGGGGGTGGTTGAGATCGTTGGAGATGTGCTTAGGCACATCGGAATTTTAGGTGACTTGGGGAGTGGCCGTCCCTGGGGATGGTTGACTGTAATATTTTCACCGTAATTTCTTTCATCTTCTAGACCATTCGAGTTAGGAACATGAGTATTTGGTGCATGGGTACGGGGGAATTTTAGTGTGACTTCGGGTGTGACTGTCCCTGAGTTATTGGTGGCAGACAATTAAGCTGATTCCACTGATCAACCGTAAAAAAGATGGCGAACATTCACCACCCTCCTGTCATTTGCCTATGCGTACTCCGGGCCTCCACAGCATAAAACAAGGCAGCCTGCATGCGTAATTTCCTGAAGCCCAAAATTCCCAAACGACCAATATAACTTACGTCATCACAGGTGACGTAAGTTTATAAAACTTAGAGAAGGGGCCATTTTTCTTTTCCGGGCTTTTTACTCCGAATTTTTCAACCGAACATTCTTTAAAGAGTTTTTAAATCCAAAAAGTATATTTTGGGTTGAGATTTTATTTTTACACCGATATTAACTAAAATATTTCAAAGCTCCCAAAATCCACAGACTGAGCACACACTTCTTAANCGGTCGCACCCGAATCTGAATGCTTTTTGGACCTTCTCTCTTCAAGAAAACTTGCATAGTTTTCCTCGTGGTCCAGTAAGTAGTCATCCATGCTTTGTAACTCTCTCCTGAACACTTCAGCAAAAGCGGCGATTGTCCTATAATCTTTGTCAACTACTCTGATTTCTCTGAGGGTGAGTGATTTTTTACGAAGTTTGTCCTGTATTGCCCGCACCATAGACAGTGCGCCCTCATGTTTTGGGACTCCAAATATCCCTGGAAAAACAAAATAAGTAAATAAATAAATAAATAAATAGATAAATAAATAAATGTGATAATAACTAAACATGAAGTTTTTTTAACTATTACAAATTAAGGTCCCATTATCTAAATATTCCAGGTTACCATGTATTCATCTTAGGTAATTTTTTCAATTTCACATATAATATTTTCAGTTTATTCAATCTAAGCCAAAGCTAAAAAATAACTAAAAAACATACATTTTGATACAGCGGCTAGAGTGACTAAAAACTGATATTAGGCATTGAGGGGAAGACACGATTTAAGTACTTAAAATGGAGTATTGCGCGACAATTAATTTGTCCTGTGCACCTAGAAATATACGTAGTATAGTATCACAGTATGCTAACCTGTGCTGATAGCAGGCATTGCAACAGTTGAAACTTTCAGGCGGCGGCACTCATCTAGCACATTTCCCACTGCACTTTGGAGCTCCAGCTGGTAGTTTGGGGTCTCTACGGTCGGCCCGACCACGTGAATAACGTAACTGCAGGGAAGATCTCCAGCAGGTGTTGTTACCACTCCACCAAGAGGTATGGAACCGTGCTGGCGAATGGCATCTTCCGAGTCTTTTTGAAAACTTCGCCCTGCCGCTCGCGAGATAGCCGCAGCCACGCCTCCTCCGTGACGAAGGTGCTTATTTGCTGCATTGACAATGGCATCTGTGTTTTCCTTGGTAATATCCGCAACTTTGATCGTCAGTTTTGTGCCAGTGGGAAAAGTGTAATGGAATGCTTCTTGTCTTCCAGTTGAATCTATAGACGAAATTGAAGATAGTTCGATTGAATGTGGTTCAACTTCTCGAACGGACGGACCCTGACGATCCACTTGACGGTCAGAATCTCCAAATTCCCTCTCAACTTCGTATACCTGATCTGTTGGGCCCACAACTTCTACTTCACTGCTATTTTTGGTCGGCCGAACACAGACACGCTTGTACTTTTTGGATATCCTAAAGGATAGGCGTCCGCTTTTATCTTTTAAAGTGGCACGGCTGATATTTGTCATGTACATTTCTTTTTGATATAAGGTCGTAAAACCCTCCAGTGCTTCATTCTTCCGGTGATATTGTACTGCTGCTTCCTCTCTTTCAGTTGTCTGTGCAAAAAGTTGACCATCGATGACAACGAATTTGACACCCCAGTCGTTTTCGATTTTGGCTATCTCTTCCGGGAAAGTTTTTCTGATGTAATCAAGGTCGATCTCAGGTACTGTTAATGTTTTCTCTTGCTGGCGGTCGACTGATTCATATTCGTTTTCAAGATCGTATGTTGGGCCTCTTGCAACCGCTTCTGTCTCTTTGTGCTGAAACCCTCCTTGTGGCGGCGGTTGAAAGTTATTCTTGGATAACGCATGATGTGGGGGTTGTGGGGGTTTCTGCTTTTTTCTCCATTTGTCTTGCGATCGTTTTGCTGGTGTACTGCCTTTACCAGAACACGATGTTGGAGATGGACATGACTGACTGGACTTTTGTGAAACCGCCTTGTCTCGTTTTTTGCCTTTCCTTCTCTTGATCCACTCCCAAATATCTAAACACATGTTGTGTCCGGCACGTGGTAGAGATAACAATAATGTATATATGACTGAGAGAAGAATAACTATATAGCCGTAAAAGGTCGTGACTGCATAACTAGCTGAAGATACAAAATATGCCCCACCTTCAGGACTGCGTCTAGACAATTTGCTCTGTAAAGTGTCGTCCTCGGTATTTTCGTCCTCATCTGATGAAAAATTGGCCAGTGTCCCCTTATTATGCGATTTGCCTTGGTTTTTAGTATTTCTCTTTTTCCTCGAAGGCATACCTCATTCTAGTGTGCATGCAGTACATATCAGGATATAATTCTGAAATAGGCCAGGGAAAATTGACAAGTTGAATAACAAGCGTGACAAACCCTTATTTTGAGGAAATATGTTTTTTTCTACCCGTATCATTTTTTTCAAATAATAAAAAAAAAAAATGCATTCAGTAATGGTTTGGTGAGTTGGGAGTTGGCGAAAATGACAATTACCCCCTCGAAAAATTTAATTAATGATGTTGCTCTTATGCTCTTATCTCCTTCTCAAAATAAATAAATAAATAAATAAATAAATAAATAAATAAATAAATAAATAAATATAAGGGCTTAGACTGGTGAGATGCACATTCATACAGTACTGTAGGAGCAGTGGGAAAAACTGATTTTTTTTTTTTTTTTTTTTTTTTTTACGGGTAATTTCATCTCTTTAAATGCTATAAACATCTTATTAGAGCAGTGAATAGTCTGTTGTTGGCTGTGCCCTGATATGTTGGCTGGATTATTCTTCAGCATTTCCCATGGGGTTGGATGTTATTTCTTCACACAGCATGGGAGCTTTTCGCTGGCCAGTCGGGTCGAGTTGATGCTCTAGATGCCACGCAATACCAATTGTGCATGTACCCCGGTGTAACAGGAATGGAAATCTGCTAGGAACCGTAGTCCACTTCCCATTAATTTGTACAGGTGGCATTGGCCCCATATACTACCCCGGTACTCCGACTAACCCTAACCTGCACTAATCATATGGGACCCCGGACTTCCTTCCCTGGGACTACCATTCCTGTCACACCGACACTGTTCGTTCAAGAGAGAAACAGTTCAAACGGTTTAAGTCTGGTTTATATGTCAGCTTGGTGAGACCAAACTTCATAACATATCATTACACCGGACAACGTGAATGACAACAATAAGTAAAGAACGTCTCCCATTAGAAGTTTTACGACCCAATTGAAACCGAAAGTAGTTTCATATCTGGTGTAGGCCTATTCTCGGCTTGATCTAGGACCCAACATGTAGATTCTGTCCTTGGCTTGATTAACAGAATTATCCTCAGTTACTCCGCTTGTGACTTACCCTGTGATTTAACGACGTTGATCTCCTTCGTTGGCAATCAAGTATGTCGATATGTTTTCGTTAGCAAGTTTTACGCCCTGCAATTCCGTCTCGGGGATTCCCCTTTACTGGCACGACCTATAGATGTCACTACTCGCAAACATGGGGGTTGGTCTCGTGAACTTCAGTTATGTGCTAGAAATATCGTCTTCCTAAAAATTGCTGGTTTTATAATAACAAAAGAAATCGATTTTAACAATATCATGTGATCAAACAAAACATCATCGTGAAGTTTTTATTACTTTAAACGGTCCATTTTGGACAAGAATCGATACTTTTTTGGCTTTGTCAGTTGTGGATTGCTGTATTTAGGGCCTATATGAAATGTGCCGACTGAAAGGAACGAGATAAAGTCAGCTAAAGTAACAGTTGGTTGACAGTTTCTTTTAATTTATTTAAATACTATGTAAATTAGCCTTAATTTTTTATCTTATGGTACATGTACATACTGCATGGTATTTTTTTAAAAATTACATAAAAGTAACAAAATCACTACTAATATTAACACTTTAAAACTATAACTTCATATAAAAGGTGTACGACTGATCAAATGTAACAACTTCCCATCTCTATCAAATTATTATAGGTGATGATAGGAAATTATCTTCTTTCTCCACTTGTGACGTTCTTGTATTTTTACTGCCACACCTTCCAGATTACATAATACACTGTCTAACAAAATTATAATTAGCAATAAATAAATAAATGCTGCAGTAAGTGAATGACAAAAAACTTGTGACCGCCACATGACACTTGACAATGCACAAATTTACCCAAAATCGAACTTCTTTACAATACAGACATTGCATGCAACCGCATTTGCTTTTTTAATTGCAAGCTGCCTTTTTATTTTGTGCACCATTCATAAAAACAAACATAAATATGAATAATTTTAATTTATCCATGTTTACAAGTGCAACAACAAAATAGTCAGATTCAGGGCAGAATCTGTGCTAAAGGGGAAAGTTTTCTAGCCGAAATAACTCGGAAACGTGAATCTGTGTACAGATTAACATTAATAATTTGCTGTTTTTAAGTTTTCCACACAGCACTTCTGATAGACTAATGGAGTGATGTACATAAATATTTCAACAAAAATTCTTTTATGAGATTCATTCCATGTCTCACTATATACAGATGGAAATAGTTATAGACACACGGCCGTGGACAGGTTTTCAAACTCCCTGCATTTCACTGTCAAATTTCCCACCATGATTTAGTTATTTAACACAATTCTGAAACCTCAGGAGAGATTTTGTAATACTGGAGAAACCACATACTGGACACATATCAGCACAATCCTGTTTTCATCATTTAGTTGAACAAATTGAGGCAAATTCATTACAGTCTGGTTAACTTCCTTGTTATTTTCATGTATCAAAACCAAAACAAACTTGTGTTGACACTTTTAAATGCCTGCATGAGTCCGTACATTTAGTAATGTCGTGTTCGTATTTGTTAAACCAAGATCATCCACATTATTGCCTCAATGTGGCCTGGCCACCACCCCAGACTCTGAGTTATGTCTAGTCCTCTGCACACGCTCTGCGCGCTGGTGAGCCTCTGGATTAGGGTGTAATATATCCTGTATGTGCTGCACTATAAGGTCAATAGCAACTGAAATGAAAAAAAAAAAACATTGGGAAAAATTATGATAAATATTAAGATATTAGAGCAAAAACTGTTCAGGCAATAAAGCAGTTTGTGGAAATGGCAGTTTGTAATTGCTGTTTGCATCTGATTTAAAAATGCCATGTCATACTTATAACATGCATTTAAAATCTTTAAAATGATTATTTTACAATTTTTTTTTTCTTTTTTTTAAATGGACAAAACGAACACCACCGTTTTTCAATTATAATCAAAAGCAGTGTTTTTTTATTCCTGTCTAATCAATTACAAATGCTTCAAAAAACTTTTTAAGCCTGTTCCAGTAATATGTATTTTCATACCTAAGTTATCTGCACCTCTTGGTATAATAATATCAGCATACTTTTTTGTCTAAAATAAACGAAAATGGTAAATATATTGTAGTATGTTTTTTAGACAAAGTATTTTTTCAGCAAGAAAGAAATTTGTGTATGCATTTTGAGTACTTAAGCATAAAAGAAAAGGTAAATGATCAACTCACAGCTTTCAGTTAAAAAATATACATTGACTGACAACATTTGACAAAACTAAACAAGTTTTTAACTAACACATTTTTAGAATTTTATCCATTTTAGCACACAGTCCCAGTCTATAATTTTGATGAGAAACTAAAATGAAAAAATCTAAAAAAATAATGTTCCAATATAAGAAGTTTGAACTACATGATCAATTGCAGAAAATTATACCTACTGGTAAACAGAACTCTTCAAATGCTGGCTTCACAAAGACAATGTAAGTGCTGAGAACTTTCTCTAAGTCTCGGCCAAGTTCTATGGTATCTCTCAGAACTAGAATATAAGGGTACAATCATATTTTCCCCTATAATACAATTCAATCTAAAGATAAGAGCTAAATACCTTTACCTGACTAATTTTAACTGTGGTCCTATTGTCAAATAACCAAAAGGCAAGGTATCAAATGACAATCAGAAAATTCATTTGCACTAGGAAGATAGAACAATGTCCAAATTATACAAAGATTTCTTGAATACTGCACCCAGTGTGCTTTTACTGAAAGCCACTTTGTGCAAAAAAGAAATAAGTTTAGAGAGAAATAACCTTTGCATACTTAAAAACAATGGGGCCATTCAGAATAGAAGATCTGAGTATCAGCTCAGGGGCGGATTTAGGCCGTCTTCTGGGTCTTCCGGAAGACGGTCAGATTTTCAAGTTTACACTGACGGGTATTTAATTTTTTCTGTTGGAAGACGGTCAAAATTGGAGAATGAATCAACAAAAACAATTTGGAAGACTGTCAGTAAATAGCTCTGCATCTGCCCCTGCAGCTGGTCCAACGCTCAAATATGGCGGACCCTACATGAAAGGAAGACTGCTTAATCCTGAAATGATCTCTCCACTTCTCACATGCCTCCCCACGCCTCTGGTCAATTGGAGTCGAGATTGAATTGATGTGCCCCTGCAGGGAACACGTGGGAAGGTGTGTGAGAGGCGGACAGACCATTACAGGTTTAAGCGGTCCTTTTAGGGTCCGCCATATTTAAGCCGCGGACCAGTTAGCACTCAGATCTTCACATTCTGAATAGGACCAATAACATTAACTTTTGTAACCCACCTCTACGTGAAAGCCGCGTGTCGGGGTCTGTGTCCACAAATAGCTTCATGTCAAACATCTCTCTGATTTGTTTACAATAAAATACTAAAATGCCTTCAAATAACACGACATCTGCTGGGTACACAACAATCCATTCTGTCTCCTTTCTGAAACAAGACAAAGGAAGCTGAAATACAACACTTCATTAAATAAACTATTACTGTTAGAAATTAAAGTGGGGTACTAAATGGGTTATTCTTTTTATGTTAAAAGTTATCAGGCTTTTACAACTGTCTCTGTATGTATTTACCAAGGCAAACTAAGATTTCAAAAATTTCATGAAAACAACCAGAAGCTAGATGGTGTTGATGGGTAGTCATGGCATATTCTTGCACTTCCCCACATTGTAAAGAGTAGCTCACCCTCAGGTCCCTGTTCCCTCGATATCTACGACAATGCCTGGGTCCTATATATATAATTACTGCAAATAATCTTGAAGTTCATAAGATAACAGCATAAAAATATCCATGTTAAATTGCCTCATATAAAAAAACAAGAATTATCCACCCCCATACACATCTAAGTTTGGACTGGCACATCCACATCTATGATGACAGGTTTATCAATTCCAAAAGTTTAAATTCCCTTGCTGTAATGGTTTAGGTCTACTTTACAATGCAGGAAATTAAAGCCATCCACCCCCAGGATCAGCCCAACCCTCTTATACTAAAATTCTGAAGTACTTATGCACATCCCTGTTGACAAGACTATCAATACCCAAAGTTTTAACTTCCTCACTTTATTGATCTAGGAGGAAATAGGAGAAATTACAATTTGAACAGAATTACGAATCATCTCCACCCCCAACCAGGAACAGCCTAACTTCCACTTGCACTAAAATTCTGAAGTGCCCATGCATGTCCCTGATGACAGGCTTATCAATTCCCGAGCTTTCTCACTCTAATGGTCTAGGAGGAGATAGTGGAAAGGCTGGATAACATGATCTTGGACTGTTGTCACAAAAATTGTGGGAATCAAATAAAGTGTCTGCTTCTTTTTGCAGTGGTAATTAATGTCACTCTCAAATATATGAGATATGCGTACTACACATATACAAAATATGCTTAATAATATTGTTATCTGGTAGTGGTGCTGTTATTTGTGCTGCGTTTTTTAATTGAAATTATTCTAACAAACGTTGGTTCTATTTGACATTATATTAAACTAAAAATTAAACAAAATGTACCCAATGAAAACAGTATGTCTAACAGTATGTCCCATGAAAATGAATTCAAATGTCAACTCTGAATGACATTCATGTTAACCATGTATAGTACCTGGCATTAGTGGCATAATCATAAGCTGGCAGTTTGACTGGCTTTCTCTCCTTGATGTCCTGTAGTGTTTTCAGCATTAAATCAAAGTCAAATGCCTCTGAAAGCATAAAATTAATACTTTTAATTTAGAATAAAACTTAAGTAATAAATAGGCATTATTTATATACCAAAGAATGAAAATTAATTTGAAGTGTTTTCATCAATCAACATTTGTTTTGAAAAAGGTGTAAAAGTATAATACTTGCTAAGAAAGGAATGACATGAGTATGAGTGATATGATAAAAATAATAAATTTATAGCCTTTTTTCTCCTCCTTACCAATCAAGATTAAGTTCTGTTCTGTTCTGTTATGCTGTGTTACATTATGTTATGTTATGCACCAGTATTACATTACATTATACAAAACACAAGGTAATGAAAGCAAGCAAACTTAATCTTCTGTACATTCTGGTCCCTTTAAATAAACAGCAAAATTAAACACTGTTTTACAGCCCCAAGTTTTATATCCACGTAATTAAAAAATAAAAACTGACATTTTTACCAGGCTTTTCGCTACTCCTCAGAGCTATCTACACAAAGGCCAAGAAATGTTACATCCTTTCCTTTAAAATTTGATATTAAAATGCACAACTAACGATACCTGGGTGATCAAAGTTAAATTTTCCTTGGACTGCCAGGTCTTTCTCTGCCTGTGTGAGGTTTCTGTAGAAACATTCCTGACTTATTGTGATCACCTGCCTTTGATTCCGTTCAACATTAGCCTGGCCAAGCTTTTCAACTATTTTTTGACATACTGAGGTCTGAAAATATAATAGAGAAAAAGAGTCAAAGTTAAATCTATAATTTTTGCATTTAACATATACAGTAATGGATAACAGAGAGGATTACTCAACTTAATGAAAAAAATTTAAATACAGAGATAATGACGAAGATGGGCAATGGTGCCAATGATTAATACTCTAGCAAGAAATAACCACTACAGACCTCTGGGCCTATATTTACAAACAGTGTCCCATGAGTATCAGTGTCCCATGAGTATAAGTTTTTTCACTGGGTGCTACGCCATGCCGCTTCTCAACTAATGCATGGGAAACTGACCTGCACTGATACACAATTAAGATCAGCTATTATCTCTACTTGTTGCAAGGAGGATGGTTTGAAGATCTAGCCAGGAATGGCTAAAAGGAAACATTCTTAATTTTTTTTTTTTTTTTTTTTTTTTTTTTTTTTTTTTTTTGAGGGGGAAGGGATTTTTTTGTCACTCTCTCTTGTTCTCCTATTAAGCCAATGTCTAGTCAAGTTCTTCTGTGTTTGAAATAGACAAAGCAAAGTACAGTATCACATTGTATTGTTTTATACATGGATTTGCCACCAAATATTTCTTCAATCTACCCATGTCAGGTGTACTGTACTACTGAGCTTCAAAAGATCCCAGAACAAAATGTTAAGCAGTATCTTCGTGCTCAGCTCCTATATTATTGTCTCTTGCATTCAAACCGTCTGTGGCAATATTTAAGGGTTCTAAATCAAGTGACATACCTCAGTTATATGTTTGCATATTAAAATGAGAAATCTAACAAAATATAAAGTCAGTAAAACATTAATACATTTTGATCTGACTGAGACAGCTCAAAATTATAATAGCATCCATACTCAGATGTTTGGTTATCTAAATGCCAAATTTCAAATCTCTAGCATGTGAGAACCCTATACAAGTATGTACAAGTAAGTCAACGAAAATGAATGAATGAGTGAAAAAATTCGTGATTTTCTTTCTCTAACATATCGTTAGTGCAAGATTTAATAAAGCTGGATATAAATCATACTTTTCCTGAAGCAGTTCCACCTGCGACTCCGATCAAAAAAGGCCTTGGGATGTCCGTGTAACCATTGAATCGGAGAAACCTAGTCATGACAAGTGCGTCGCCCGCACTCAGGGCAGCCATACTGTTCGCTCGCGCGGTACACTATGTTTAGTTGATCGTTTTATTGACGGATTAAAATTGAAATTTAGATATACTTTAGAGACATCTATAATACATTTGAGACCGAGAAATATATATTAAAGCATCGCAATGTTTTCTATATCTTGATATTTCATTTTAATTTCGAACAAGTATTCATGCATTGCATCGAAGCTATGCTCCAACTATAAAACAGCTCTGCATACTGAATGTAAAAAGAGCTGAGGGAGTGTTAACAAGGCGTTTTTATATGTAAAGGAATCTGTTGGAAACGTAATGAAAGTGATAAGATGACAGAAAACTAATATTCAAGTAATGGGAAACGAATCCAGCTCGTTAGAAGACTGTACTCTCCAGCCGGCGCTAGATTTTGAAGCGTTGCGTGGTTGGTCTGTGTGTCCAGCACAGTGGAAAGATGGCTCCAAGGTGACGGTGTTCTTCCACAAGAAACCCGAGCCGGAGAAGAGGGGGTTTGTGGAAAATGCTGTCAAGGTAATTTGAGTGAATTATTATAACAGCAGATTTGGTGTTTTTTTAGCAGATTAATTATTTTTAAAACGGTTTTTACATCTTAGAGCTTGTGTAATTCTCAGCACCAAAATACACTAGCTAGATAAACGTTAACCTAGGATGGACGTTCAGAGTGTTTGACAGGAACACGGGAGACAGGTTTGGGAGAAGGGGGGGGGGGAGAGTTGTGAGATCCATGTGTAAAATTATATTCATATTGCATGTCATATTCAGTGTCTGATTACATATAAGCACACGAAGATGACTCGGTGTATTTATTTTCAGCAACTGAAGACAATACGTCATCCCAGTGTGCTGCGCTTCTTCACTTCCTTCACCAGTCCTCAGGGTCTGCATATTGTCACAAAACCAGTCAGTCCTCTGCTGCTGGCTCTTGAGGCAGGAAAACTGTCTTCAGTGGAAATATCAGCAGGAATCTACAATATTATTGAAGCTTTGAGTTTTTTGCATGAAAGGGTAAGGCTTTGTTGCAAATACTACAGTTTTATTCTAATGGTGGCAGATGTTTGGTTGTACTGTGTACAGTTCTCATATTATAATTCTTGATTTATGACCATAAAATATAAGCAATGTGTGTACACATAATAAAAATCTACCTTTAAATTTTACCGTGATATGTTAAATGCATAATAAAAACAATACAGAATATTACATTAATGCTAAATTATATAAAAAAATTCAGAATTATTTTTGTTTGATAGATAATATATTCTAAACAAACAAAATCATTTCAGTTGCAAAATATCTAAAAATAATTATTTTTTACAAAGGTTGGTGTGTCCCACAATAATGTGAGTTTAGCTTCCATTTTTGTGAGTGAAGATGGGAGCTGGAAACTGGGAGGTCTGGACTATGTCTGCAAACTCACAGAGGCTACAATAGAGCAGCTACAGGCATGCAAAACTTTTAGAAATGAAGAGGCTATTACTCCAGAGGAGAAGGTGATCTGAAGAATTTAATTTAGTTAGCCTTTGAAAACTTGGTTTATAGTCTGTTTAATCTTATAATCATTCTGTTTTGTTTTGTATATTTAGAGATTATTTTGGCAAATTTATTTAAGGCAAATGATTAATGTTTTTTAGTAAAAGGATACTGTGTTCCACCAATATTATGTATTTGTGAAATAAGCTTGTAAACCCAAACAAGTTATATGCAATTTGTCAAGCCACATGAAATCTTCAAGGAGCCCTGCAAATTGACTGAGATGCATTTGTACCATACAAACTCTATGGTTCCCCAATTTCCTTTATGAGGTATTACTTATAGTCTTTAACTTCCAGAATGGGCAAGTGGTGACGGGGCTGCAGTATGCTCATGCAAGAGATGCATATGCTTTTGGCAGACTGGCTGAAGCCTTGTTAGAGTACTTGGTGGACTTAGGTAGGGGGCTCTTACTTCGAGTGACATCTCTCCTTTAACACAGTGCACAAAGAGATAGTTAAAAATGAATTGAAGTTTTGCCAGCAATGCATTGTGATGTACAATAAGCATTTGAAAAGTTAAATACTTTCATTAAGTGTTTTCTCTCTCTCTCTCTCTCTCTCTCTCTCTCTCTCTCTCTCTCTCTCTCTCTCTCTCTCTCTCTCTCTCTTGTGATCTTGTAAATGAACCTTCAGATATATATACACAATCAAAACTTAATTAAAATGTGTGAATAAAATTATTCAGTGTTGCCGAGTGTATTCTGTAAGTTAGACATGATATTTTTGTATTTCATTAATGTCCTATACAGGATTTCTGCACAGAATCTTATATTTCTCAAGAAAGCAATTTTTTCCTACTCATAAATGGATTCATTCAATCTGGCCCTGCACTTGGATTTAATGTTTTGTTTTATTTCTGATTAGATTACTTTGTTCTTACCAATTCTTTTATTACAATTCTTTTATTTCAGTTTGATGGGTTTTATCATTTTTAAGGTCTTAATTTGGAAAAATAAGTAGTTTTGCAGGATTTGTTAGATTTTCAAACACATAATATACCTTTAAAAACTGATCTGGGATATTTTATTTGGTTCTACTTGCAAATTGGGTGTTGCTTTTAATTTTGAATTGCACATTTTGGAATTGAGGGTTTAAGGCAGTTTTCTTGTTTCTAGAAGGCAGTATTTGGGCAATTTGGACCTTGTCATCATTTTCAATTTTCTGAATTCACATCTGTTTGATGACATCAGCAGTTAGTTTAGTATTTGAAAATGATAGTCATAAAATGTGAAAAAAAAATTAAACTGCTCACCTGTTTCATTACATTCAATAACACCGCAGTGAAAGTAACAAATAAATGGTCATGTTGTTTTCATGGTTATCAGACACATATATACTAAACACTTTTTTATGTACAATATTTTAGGTGATTTAACAAAGACTTTTGAACTAAGAATTCAAGATGAGTTTCTGCACCAAGATCCAAGGCAAAGACCACATGTGAGCTCTTTGCTACAGGATAGGTTGTTCAGGTGATGCAAGCTTAATGTTCCACCTGGTCTATAGTAATATAAAACATTTAACAGAGGATTTAAGAAAAGGATCTTTAAAATTTTAAAGGTAGTAAGAGGTTTCTAAAAGTGTTTTAGTCTAAATTTTAATTCCGAATAACTTTTTAATATACCATTTTATTTACCATTTTATATTAGCTGAATGAATATTATTATTAGTTTCTTTAATTAATACTAGGAATGTCTTAATGGCATTTTACTTCCACATTTCAGGAACGAGTTCTTGGAAATAAAAATGTTCCTGAAAAATATAACACTAAAGTCTGATGAGGAGAAAAAAGAATTTTTCTGGTAAGTAGAATGTGACATATTCTGTGATTTTGGCTCAGTTCCCTACCAAGTTGATCGGAGCACTAACTGATCTGTCCATCAAGTATGGGCGACCCACTTGAAAGCTTTCTGGGTAATCTCCTAATGGATTCCCCACAGGGTTTACGCAACAAGCTTTCGAGTGGGTTTCGCCATATTTGATCAGCAGATCAGTTAGTCTGCAGATCAACTTGGTCCTTACTGGACTGTATATGTCCTCATAATCTTTTACTTGTAGCATACTAGTAATTGAGGACAGTTGATTCAAATTTATTTGGAACTGCCTTACTTTCTGTTCATATCAGAGTGGAATTATTTTAACTCATAAATAAGTTGTTATTTGACTGATAATAAATATTTGTCAATCCTGCACACAAAATAGCAAGGTTAGTCTAATATTATTTAACTTTGTATATTTTTATTAAGTATAATTATATATTCTCTTCAGTAAGACAGAAAATGCACAGACACTGTATTGATATTATAGTTAGTTCTAAGGAAGTGATCAGTAATGAGATATGTCAATTTGTAGACTTCAAAGAATTCAGACTTTCTCCGTAATCTCCATTGCAGGGATAATGCAGTTTGATGTGTCTGACATATTTCCCTAAAAATGGTCTAATGATATGAAAAAACATTACAAAATCTTATGGTTATTAATAAAATTAATGTTTTGAATTTCTCAGCACAGTGGTGGAGAAGCTGTTGTCTCTGCCAGCAGACCTCGTAGCCTCTAGGCTGGCAGAGCCGCTCTTGTCGCGCTTCGTGTTACTGGACACCAATGCAGTGGATCACGTGATACCACATGTCCTCACTCCAGGAGAAGGTACCTTTATACATGGTTTATCTGCATGTAATTTTAATGGGATTTAGGCACATTTCGGACTGTTGATCCCCATGGTCAATTGATGGAAATTTCCCTGTGGTTCATTGTACTTTCCATCATACATATGATCCAAAAGCTAATTTTATGCATGTGTTAAACGTTAATGGAACTGGGTTAATAATGGAATAACTTTGTTTTAGATTGAAAAAAATCTTGCCAAATTGATGATAGAAAATTTAATTATTTAATTTAAATTCTGCTTAGTTATTCAAAAGTATGTCAGCTGTTTATTGTAAATGTTCAACAGGATACTTACTCTTTGAAGCTATTCATTTGTTTTGAAAATTGTTTTAACCGTCTTTGCCTGTGAGTTATGAAAAATTGACATGTCATTCCTGGACCATGGAAAGGAGAATTTGTCATCTATAAGGTTACCAAAACTTAACTTTTAAGATCTGATCATGTGTTATCTTTTCCATTTCAGAAGACACAGATATAAATAATAAAGTGCAATCTAAGGAAACTCATAAGGAAGATAGGCCGGTGCCTATCCTGCCTCGGAGACTGTATCAGAAACATGTCATCCCTATCTTATACAGGATTTTCCATGTCAAAGATGCACACATCAGGCTTGTGATTCTCACACATTTCAGACACTTTGCTCATTTATTTGATAAGGAATCATTACAGGATGTGATTCTGCCACAGGTATGTTATTTATTACACTTGTTATGATTCAAGTATATAATATTTTAATGAAAGTTTTTATATTAATGGGTCGAGTCTGGCAATTTCTTATCAGCAGATAGTAAATAATATAAATGAAGTAAACAACTGAAAACCTTTGGGGAAAGTAATATTAAATCTTTGGACTTAATTTACATTTACATGATTTTCCAGTTGTTGCTTGGTTTGAGGGACACTAATGACCAGATAGTGTGTAAGTCTCTGGAGGCTCTTGCAGTGTTAGTGCCAGTATTAGGAGGGGACGCTGTGATAGGAAGGTCAAGGTCAAAGATATTTATAGAAGGAAAACCCAGAGTAAGGCAGAGTTTATTTTAAACATAAACAAGTGTTTTCACTTGATTTTAAGCTGGACTAGCACCCCCAACTTCTTTCTGTTTTAATGACAGAAAAAAGTTATTAATGATCACAAGGTAATTAAATTAAACAGTGATGTGCCTGAAGGCATATATCACTATTGCACATTAATTATATTCCAAATATATCCCTCAGGGCTTTGACCATAGTTTGATTTTACACCTGTTAAGTTATTTTATACACCAGTTTTCCTACAGGCAACAATACTGAGACTATATTAAACATTAGCACTGTGGAATTGCAACGTGGCACTGTTACAAATAGAATACTTTTTCCAAGTGTACAATAATTTTTAACTATAGGCCTTGAAGATAGAGGAGACCAGCTCAGGGGATCACATTCCAGTCCCTAACACAGTCAGCAAAGTCTTAGACCTGACTAAGTCAACCACGGGGGAAGTGTGGTAAGAAAACCACTTACATTTTATAGTATAGGCCTGATATACTAAAGTAGTGCTGATTGTGTAGTGTATTGATATTCCATTTTTGTTTTGAATTTGAAAAATAGAAGCTCAGGAAGGAGACATAAGGGTTATAAATGTGGTTTATAGACTTATTTTGATCAGGAAAGTTAAAGTGAGAGATTTCTGTTGTCAGAAAATGCTGAATAATTCATGTGTTCATCTAGATAATTTTTTTTTTCATATAACAAACTTGCTCTGTTGTATAATGATTTAATGTGTTCTGTCTCATAAGTCACATTTCTTTCCAATACCATTAACATTTGCATTTATGAATACTTTATTACCAGCATGTTCAATATTAGCAGTATTTTAGCTAAATCCGTAATGATCTGCATTGAGGTACTGACCCAGTCTGTAGATAATTGATCTAGACATATTGAATATATGCATTTATGAGATTGATGTTTGTTTCTCACCCATATACTGTTTATATAAATAATATGCATGGCAGTGTAATGACAATTGCTTGCAAAACAAATGTTTTCAGTTTTCCATTCAGCTGCCATACTTAGAACTTCATGATGTTCGAAATGAAATCTTATTAATTATGTATAACTATTGAGCCCTCCAATCACGAAGCCTGTCTCAGATATCAGGAGTTGGCTTGTCAAGCTGTCCAATCAGTAGCATTATATTTAAAGAAATTAGCATCAATGCCATGTAGTACTGTTCATTAGTACTGTGAAAAACTGATGTCCCTGTTAATGATAATTTAAAGGTAGTTTTGATATTAGCCATATTTGTTTTGTTTGAATAGCAATGGAGATCTAAAGAGACACCCCAGTGATGAGAGTGAGGACAGAAAACTACAGCTATTAAAAGAAAGAGAGAAGAGGAAACAGGAGGCAAAGAGAAAAGCTGAAGAAAGGAGAAGAAAAAGGGAAAATAAAAAGATCCAGGCTGAAAAAGGTAATAAGAGTTTAATGTTACTTTTGAAAAACCTACTGAACACATTTCATAGTTTACTGTTTCATCTTCACTCGTGTAATAATTGTAAGGGTCATGCCAGTGAAGTTTGTGCTCCTCTGCTTAGCACAACTAGCAAGCTAGGTTTAATGACATCATTTGTTCAAGATCTTATATGAGAGAGAAATTTGAACTTATTAATAGGACCATATTTGTTCAATCCTGAAATAAATCAACCTACTGGTGACTGCAACTTCAATGCCAGTGTGATCAAAACACATTGCTATTTATTTTCATATAGATTCACAGTATCAATTATTCATGAGTTGAAATGTTATTACTGCTGTGTGGCACAGATAAGTACGCATTATGTAGAGAGCAGATATTTCAGCAGTTAATATCTAAACATTGTCTGTAAATTACATTACACTAGGTTATAGTGGAGAAACTTATGTTTAAGTGTTGTGTTGCTGAGTAGCTTGTTACTGGGTAGTTGAAATATTTATTCATTTATTTTAACTTGTTTATTAGTACCACCAGCGCGTACGCTGGCGGTACTCATGGTTTTAGTCCCGACCCGTCTCGTACAGCTCCGCCGGCTCCTGCGGCTCCTGCAGCTCCGCAGGATGGCGTGGGATACAAGTCACCGTTACCGCTTCTCCTCCTAGACAACAAGGACCTGTGTTCCCATCTCTTGGATTTAGGTCACAAATAATCTCAACTTGAACCCCCAGATTTTTATGTCTCAGTCTGTGCATTGGCCTGGGCGTGGCACTCGTTGTAACGCACCCTTGTCAAAATTTTTGAAAATTCAATGCTTAATATCTCCCATACCGAAGGAATAATGGGAAAAATTTCTACAGACGGCTGACCGAAAGTCATATGTGGAGATTTCAAATATGCCTTTGGATTTGACCTTTGGCCTTTATTTCAAGGTCAAATGGGCCAAAATTTTCAAAAAAATGAAATTATTTGCGCTGATATTCAGAAACTACACAGACCTAACCAATTATATTATTGGAAAGTGTTACCCTTTGGGTCATCTTTCATCTCCATGAATTTGGGGTCAATGGGTGCATTTTCACGGGAGTAGCGGCCATAAGATATCAAAACTAAAAACTGTCTCTAATTCGGAAACCGTTAATGCTAGAGACCCATTCTTTTTTGCATTTTGTAGAGCATGTAAAGCCCAACACTGAATGTGGTCTCCATTTTTTTGTATTCTATACGGTTTTCAAGTTGTGCTGTATCAAAAAGTACATTGTGGTGGTGAAAGCAAAATGTGCAGTACGGTAATGTATAATAAATTTTGAACCCCAGGAAAATAAAACATAAGGCTTGGCAAGGCAGACAACTTCTGGTCTAAAATGGCATTATTTCTTGAAATTTGAACATCTGGAACTTCTGAGCACCTCCCATTTCAAGAATTTCAACCAAAATGACCTTTTCTTTATTTTAATTAATTTTTTTCTGTAGGAAATTTATGGCACATTATTGTAACTCCAAAATTGTAACATTTAGTCCCTTATATCTCCAAAACTGGCAGAGATAAGTCCATAGTTACTATTAAAGTTGAATAGGAAGTCACATACTGGCAATTTAACAGTGACCTTGAAATTTACCTTTGACCTTATTTTCACCATGAACTGAACTTTGCAAAATTCCGTTCCCTTTTATCTCCAAAACTGGCAGAGATAGGTCCATAGTTACTATTGAACTTGAATAGGAAGTCATATACTGGCAATCTAAATGTGACCTTGTAATTGACCTTTGACCTACTTTTCATCATGAATTGAACTTGGCAAATTTTCATTCCCTTTTATCTCCAAAACTGGCAAAGAAGTGCCCATAGTTACTATTGAACTTGAATAGGAAGTCATATACTGGCAATTTACTGTGACCTTAAAATTGACCTTTGACCTACTTTTTACCATAAACTGAACTTTGCAAATTTTCGTTCCCTTTTATCTCCAAAACTGGCAGAGATAGGTCCATAGTTACTATTGAACTTGAATAGGAAGTCATATGCTGGCAATTTACTGTGACCTTAAAATTGACCTTTGACCTACTTTTTACCATAAACTGAACTTTGCAAATTTCCGTTCCCTTTTATCTCCAAAACTGGCAGAGATAGGTCCATAGTTACTATTGAACTTGAATAGGAAATAAAACACTGGCAATCTGTGACCTTGAAATTGACCTTTGACCTACTTTTTATGATGAACTGCTTTTTGCATGTTTTCTGGCCTTTAATTCTGCAAAATTGGCAAGGAAATGTCCATGGTTACTATTGAACTTGAATAAAAGTTCATATACTATGATATTGAAATTGACCTTTGACCTACTTTTTCATCTTCAAAACTAGCAGAGATGTGCCTGTTGTTGCCCCTAGGTTTTCTCTTTTGTCAGCATATATGCACCACTGACAACACATTTCAAGGAAAACCAATAGGCCTTTTGTCTAGAGAATCACAGGAGTGGTCAATGGTAGGAAAATGCAAGTAAATTCGAAAAAATGCTTTATTGTACCATATTTAGTTATTTTGCATATTTTGAGAACTCTTGTCGATTGCATTTTATAAGGCTTGTCAAGCACAAGACAGGTGATGGTGTCCCTTTTTGGAGGGGGGGGGGGTTCCATACGAATGCGCTTACTCCAGCTGGTGGTACAATATCCGGAGGCGGTATCGCCTCTCTGATCCTCTAGTTCTATTTTACTCATTTTATGTATTATTTATTTATTATTATTTATCTTAATTTTTTGTGCAAAACAAATAGTTTTTCATGAAATTTGAGAGGATTCTTGAGACTTTTTATCATTTCTTCTTTAAAATCAGTTTCAGAAAGAACTATAAAAATGGACCAAGATCTGACTACTGAACAGCAGACTTCCACAGCTGACATTAACATATTAGAGGACATCAATAGAGATTCTGAAAAAGAGGAAGGTGATAAACCTTTAACAGGAAGCATTAGTGCTGCCAAAGCACAGAAGGAGAAAGAGATCCATTCCAATATTGAAAGAAATGAGTCTGAGGAAGATGCTGCTCCGCTGTCTGAAAATGAGGAAAATTGGACAGATTGGGATGAGGAACAGGCCATGGACGCTGCTATTGAGAAAGAAATCGAGGAAGAAATGGAAAATCTGGAGAGGAAGGACGCTGAGTTGAGGCTGTCCCCTGTGGAACCCATACACATAGACTGGTCTGGTGTAGAGGAGAAAGTGGAGGTCAGATCTATTATCCCAAAGGAAGCCAAAAAGGGCAAACTGAAACTGAAAAGCCCAAGCATGAAAGAGGAGGCAGAAAGTGGAAAAAGCTTCAAGTCACCAAGATCTAAGTCACTGGATTCTGGAAGTAAAGAGGAGGCTGATGATTTCAGTTGGAATACTAGTGATTGGGCAGAAACTCCTGCAAACCAGCCATCTTCCTTGGCATCTCCAAGGCAGCAACAGGGTCCCTCAAATTCTTCCAGAAAAAACTCTACTACTGAGAAAGCAAAAGGAAGAGAAAGTGGTAGCACTGGTGGGCACATGATAAACACTGAGCAGCTAGGGGCAGAGTTTGATGTTTTAGCTATAGAGATAAAAGCAACTCCAAAAGTGCAGGAATTTGATTTCTTTGCTGACATGGCACCTGATATCTCTCCCTCAGCTTCTTTGCATTTGGGAAGTAAGACCACTTCAGAGGCAGATACGCTGGATGACAAGAAGAAACAGGAGATAACACCAAAACAGACTCCCATTTCGTTTGCTGCAATGGACATTACTACAGACGTGACAGTGAGTGATAATGATTTCAAATTTCTTTAGTGTGTATGTGTTATTGTTCAGCAAAAACTGATAATTTGAGAATGGTTATGGCATTTAGAAAGTACTTTATTTACTTCTTCATGTGCCTTTAAGCATTGTTCTTTTGCTTTTGTTGCAAAAAAGGATTATAATGGCTCTCTAGAACTCTATTCATATTTTTTTTATTATACATTTTTTCACAAATTGTTATTTTAGTATACAATTTTTTCACAAATTAATCCTTTATCATAAAAAATTTGAAAGCATTTCATTGTTAAGCGTCATCTTAGTAGCAATTTGTATGATTACAGGAAGAAAAGCATTAACTAGGCAACATATCTTCGTCTTTAAAAGGTCAAAAGCTTATATTACACCACACTAGCCATGCTCTTATTTTCACTCACACTATCTTGTTATAAAGTTTACAAATTCTGTTCTTGTCACCTTTCAGGAGCCTGGGGGTTGGGAGGATGAGGACCTAGAGTGGGGAGAGGATGACAAGTGGTGACTGGGAGGACGAGGACCTAGAGTGGGGAGAGGATGACAAGTGGTGACTGGGAGGATGAGGACCTAGAGTGGGGAGAGGATGACAAGTGGTGACTGGGAGGATGAGGACCTAGAGTGGGGAGAGGATGACAAGTGGTGACTGGGAGGATGAGGACCTAGAGTGGGGAGAGGATGGCAGGTGGTGACCACAGAGTATACTGTCCTAGTCTCAGATAATTATTGGTTTACTTGACCGTTATGGTAATAATTGACCGTGGTAAAGGGATATGTTTTATATTATAATAGGAGCTGCAATATACAAATAGCATTAGTCTGGTGGATTTTTGGTTCATACATATTTGTTGCTGTTGTTGAAATATAATCTTATTGGAAAGAATATTTAAAGGTCAAGGGACACTGATTTTATCATTAGCACTTTAAGGTAGAACATTTTTGAACAGGCATCATAATTCAATTGTCATAGTTAAATAATCAGAACTGGAATTTCACTTGAGGATGCAAGACACTGTTTATCAGGGTGTCACTAGTTTGATGGATTGTGTGCAAATTTTCTGTGATTCATTTAATATTTTGACATTTTAGACCAGTACATTAGTATTTTCACCTATGTCCAACATATCTGCAAAGTCACCAGTTTCATAGTCGAATTTTTGGAGAAAAGTTATGGAATGCCAGTCTGAACTCCTACTTGATAAGACATTTTCAGGTCACTGAAGTTTTAACCAAAGAACATTGTATGTCAGCAATATAACAGAACTGGTTCAGAAATATGGCATATGCTAGTCAGTATTTGTACATGTCAACATTTTTGGTTGCTGGTAGTGTTCAGTATAGTACATGTTATATGGGCAGTACATACTTTTTCTGACCCAAGTCTTTTCTGTTATCTCTGACTGGAAATAGAAGTTAACAGAATAATAATAATAATAACATGACTAAGTGACAGAGGAAGTTGTTTATTGCAAGGCACCGTTGGGTGTCTCCATCATGATGGTATAATAGTGATAATAATAAATGAAGGTTAACTCAGAGAAGGATGTGTGTGTGTCAAAGTAGAAGTGTTTGCACCAGATTGATTCTGCTGCCAGCATACAAGAGTTGTGAAATGCACTGTGCATTAGACAGTTGCTGAAGCATTATAAAATTGGGTACTGCTATTGCTATTTAACCTGAAGGCTCAAAGATTTCAATTTATGGTACAGCAGACTGCATCTTTTCACTTGATAAGTCGAATTTTGTTGAATGTGCTTTTCTTTATATATTAGCTGAAACTTTATAAAAATTGCACAATTTTCTGGGTTCAGAATGTTCGAGTTATGCAGATATTATGGAACTTTTTCCCCACAATGTACACCAATGAGATCACCTTGGTTTTCTGCCATGACCATTTTTCATGTACCAAGTATACCAAGAGTTCCGTTAACAAAAATCAGGGCACAGGGAACGTAAAGTGTACTTAACAAACAATGGAGTAACCTCATCATTGGTAAGAAACTTTTGACAAGAAATGAACTTTCATAGATGTTTTAACAAATCAAGTTAATTACTGTTATTATAAACTAAAATGCGTTCTGTGGCTTTTTTTGTAATTACATTGATCACTTGCAAGAATATTTTATGCTCATAAGTAATGATCTGGTAACTTCCACTTGAAGAAAAATGGTATCTAAAACTTGCTCAATTTAAGTTGACTGTATGAAAGAGTTACTGTAGATCTTGACAAGGACTTGGAAATTCAAGGCATTATGTAAGTTGCACTCAAAACCAGCTGAATTGATGGCATTTTTAATCAAGTAGGTACAGAGAATTGATTTCTTACTTTTGACTGCAGTTTCCTTAGATTAAACAACTCGACTTTATAACAATATAAAAACCTTTCTATGTAAAGATGTTCCACCTACAAAATAATTTATTTTTTTCCACAAGCTAAAAAACTGGATATTGGCTACATTATAGTAGTAAACAAGATTTACCATCCATTTTTCACTTTTGTACTTCCAAAAAGCATATCCAATAGTTGAAATATATACATCTTTTCCCTTCTGAAAAAGACTTCACTGACATATTTACAAGCAGCCAGATGTAACATTACTTTCACACTATTTACAAAAGGAAAAAAATCTCATTCATAATCTTTGTGCACTGAGAGAATCAAACGGCTTAAAATATTTGCATTGCACCATTGAAACTTCATTTCAGAATCTACTCTTAAAACTACCATTAAAAAGAGTAGTACTGATATCATGATCATCAATTTGCATCCCTCTCAATAGCTGGCCATTTTATATGCAAGATCAGATCAAATCTGTTTTGTAAATGTTAACTGAATAATGATATTTTCCCTCCAAGGAATTTTCTACTATATCCTTTAACCAAGGCATTGGCAATCTTGTCATAGGAGGGCAATTGTTCGAGGTTCCCCATGGCAGCGACTGCAGGCTGTGTGCGTAACATTCTGTTGGCTACTCGCTGAATGTCCTCCTCTGTGACAGCACCTAGAAATTAAAGCAGTGGCCTTGAGGAAATTGAATCATAGTATTATGTATTCATTTTGAAGAGAAACCACATAAAAATTTGAATTTGCATTTCGTAAAAAAAAAAAAAAAAAATTGACATTGCATAAGATCTCTTCTTTCTTGGCCACTTTTATCTCTTCTCCATAACTTACAACATATGAAATTGCTATACATGCAAGTTGCTGTATTCACTGCTAAGATGAGACAGATGTTTTAATTTTAAGTAGAATTTAAAAACAAAAACTTTTTTGTTGCACTTTTGATTGTATCAAAAATATTTGACCACTGTCCTCCATTTTGACTCTTACCTATTTTCTCAATATACCACTCGGCAGATTTCCTCTCACCAGATGCAAGGACTTGTCTAGCAATATCCTCAAACACAACAGGCCGTAACTCTAGGTGACCAAGTAGCAAGGATTTAAGCTGAATTTTTGCACGTTCCAGTTCATTGCCATAAGCATTCTGTAATTGGAAGAACACCATGCCTTAGAGAAGAACTATCATACCAACATTTGATGTGCTCAATTTGTCATTATTTGGTTATACAAGTTGGTTGTTAGTATGGACCATACACGCTATCTGTGGCAAGTTTCCACGCTAGAATCATATAAGTATTTAAAAAATTCTATTCTGAAACATTGATAGATTACATTTAATTCACATGGTTTTATAACTTCATTTACAATGTACAATAATCTAAAATATTACTTCAAAAATTATATTATTAAAGGTTAAAACAAAAATACCTGCAAGTAATTTAAATTCAAACATTAAGCTCAGGTTATCTTTTCCACAGCTGTCATACTTACTACTGTAATTTTCCCTGCAGTCTTACACAACTCATTCTGGACAATTTGTACTAAATCTCCCAGCTGCAAGGCAAAAAAGACATTCATGGATTATCTTCACCAAAATTCTAAATGATCAAGCATGCTTGCCATGGAACACACACACAAACACAAAATAAATAAATAAATAAATAAATAAATACAATGAAAAAACTGATTATTTTTCACCAAAACCTGATGAAAGAGAAAAGACCTGACAACTATTTCTTACTTTAGTCTGGTAAAAATTACATTTTACATTCAACAAAATTTATATAGGACATTCATAAGTCTTTCTTTCAACCTCAGGTATCAGAAAAATGAGAGCATGCTATATTTGACAAAAAACTTACGTGTGAAGGATGCGCATTGGCAGTAATAGTGAAGAAACCCGTGTCATCATATGTTACATTTAAAGCCTGACAAAAGTTTACCCAGTAATACCTAAAATAGATGCAAATTATTTTATATTAATAATACATATACAAGATTACAAAAAAAAAAAACTGATATTATAAATTCCTCTTCATCCACAACTAAGCATGACAAACAGCTTAAACACTCAAAAGGAACTTCAAAAATGGATTAAAATTTCACATTAAAGCATGATTAAAGATTTTCATCATCACTTTGTAGTAACCTTGTTTATCAACTGCATGTCTTATTCACAACTATACCTTATTAATTTTAATTAATCCGACTTGTGTCCTTTACATAACACACATCATGTAACAAGCCACATGGTTTTGGTAACACACACAAAAACAAAGTCTACAAAGTTAGCACTTTCTCAATCTCATAGATGGTGTTTGAAGAATATGATGTTGCATGGTGCTGTGAGGTTAAACCAAAGATCTATGTTTACCACAAACCCGGCTTTACCTTACCTATTTGAATCATCCAAGCCTTGAGAACATCATAACTTATTCACAAAATTTTCCCTTCATTTCTTACCTATTCAGAACATTTAAGTAAAGTCTGGAGTACATGCCCTTTCCTGGCCCTCCCACTGAAAAGGATCCTCCACCCCCAAGCATCATGGCCAGCACGGAGAAGGGGATGTAGTCCTCATCATGCCAGGAACAGGTTTCCAGGGCGATGGCAACATGAGCAAGTTCGCCCTGCGGCATGGGATTGGGGCCATTCCGTACATCTGCCAGATCTTTATCAACCTAAAATTAGCATGAGATAAGAAAAGATCAGAATATATTCAGCCAATTATAAAATCAGAAATCTTTTTCCTCTGGAGTAAAGTTTGATAAATACACAAAGTAAAAGTAATACAATAGGTAAATTAAGAATAAGATTTAAAAAACAAATTAAAATGCATTACTGCACTTGGATAAAAATTGCTTAAAAAGCATTTTACTTCCTTTGAAAGTTTTAAGTCTACTGTTGCTACAAAGGTAAAAAGTGGTGATGCTGGGTGATAAAAGTCTCCCATGATGCTTTCAGTTCTTTTCTTCATTCTGGCCTTAAAAATATCATTTCACTTGAGGAGATCTTGCAGTATTGATTATATAACAGTTATTTACGTTCCTCCCATGTCATCCTGTTATGCCAAATTGTAATGCCATATCTCAGAATATTTTCAATCACAAACCTGTGAAAGTTGACTAATACAGGTACATTGTTCATACAAGTCCTGAGTGCAGTCTTTGTCATGCCTTCTTTATGCTCTTCATGGTGTTGTCTTTTCAGGTAAGCTTACTATTCCTATGAATGCCAACAAGTTTAAACTCCTCTACCCTTCTTACCTTAACATTAACAATACTAAGTGGTGCCTTTACATTCTGATTCCATCTAAAATCCACAATCATTTCTTTTGTTTTAGCTACATTCAAAATAATACGATTACTCTTACCCTACCTTATCACCGACTCGACATATTCTCTATATGTGCTCAAGTCGTTGTCAGTAACTAGCCCCACAAGTGTATACAGAGACAGACCAATTAACACAGATGCCCACATGCGTTACCTTGATCATTCCGCCTGTATACTGAGACAGTGACCTATCTCGTCCAAGAGTGGGGTCAATGAGTTTAGCATCCTCCTCCCAAATAGGTGTTTTCGTAAAATATTTCTTGGCCAAGTCTACAAGTAGGTCATGGTCTATCCCTGCCCCAGATAGCACCATGCGGTCAGGAGTATGGTAGTTCTTCATGAAGGTGTATAATATTTTCTTGTCTATCTTATTTATATTGTCAGGGCTGCAATACCTTGGCAATCCAACTGCGTTGTCCCTATATGCTGACTGAAATAAATCAAAGAACAATGAAAGTGTAAAACATTTTTTTCCCTACTCTGATGCAATATTACATTGAGATCAACAATCGCCTCCATTTTCTGATTATGTGCTCTGTTACTGTTTACAATGTAACAAGCACAATGCTTCAGAACCATGGAAATTCAAAGTCACACTTGGAAAATGTTAATGTGATGTATTCACAAAATATTCCTTATCTTCAAGAAAAATAATCCACTGGGAATCAATTTTTTTTCTGGCTAAGTCGAGCAGTATTTAAGTCCTGTGAATCACTTCAGTTAGCTTGAGAAAAATAAGTACAGTGTATTACATTTCTCTTTTATTGGTGTTTACAAGTAAAAGTGCATGGCAAAAGCTAACATCGCAGGCAATGACAGATGCAGGTGATGGCCTTGCATCTAAACACGATGTCAGACAAAATAAAGACTGCAATGAAAAATAAATTAATGTGCATTTTGCTGGAATGCGATTATGCAGTATAAAATGTGTCAGATTTCCACATTTAAACACATTCTCTAAACCCATATTACATATAAAACAACTTAAGAGTTAAAATAATAATTATTATTATATTTTAAGCATTATTAACCTAACAGCACTAGGGTATTTTACTTACAGCGTGAATGAGTTCATTCATTATGTTCATAGTCATGTCAGGATCTGTGTCCAATAAATTGAGTTCATACGCAACTGCTTGTCTGGCTTCTTCAATCTATCAGATAACATTGCACCATATTGTATTGACAACTTAAAAATGTGAAAATGTGTACCATGTTTTTTTGGGCTTTTTAAGAAGAATTCTAACATAAAAAGTATCTTTCTAAGCCACAAAAACAAAATGTACAAATCACATTAACGTCAGTGTATTTCTTTATAGCTGAAAATAATCCAATTCTTTAATGAAGTTTAATAGCTGAGATTTAAATAATTTTCAAAAAGTATACATTCTCTAAATCAACAACATACCTCTGCATCTTCTAATTTGGGTCTTAATACAGCTTCTGATATGACATCCATTCCATCCTCAATACCTTTTAGACTTATGGATGAAGCATACATTAAACAATCCCTAAAGAAAAAGAAAAAAAATCCCAACCTATAATTCAGTGGCATATGTATCTGGTGATAAAAGGTATGATAAAGAGCATTTCTAAAAAAAATTAGTGAGCACATATATCCTCGATCATGCAATTAAAGCACACAGTCATATAAACCAAATTCTTCAGATGAGGTGACAAACTCAAGCTCTTTGTATTCCACAGGTTCCATTCATTCAAAAATGTTCACTGACCTTGCCCTATTATCCACTGAATTTCTATCATAACAAACACCATATCAAATGCTCATATCAGGCATCTGTGGCCTCATAAATTACGAACAAGAAACTGATCCAGACATCTCCCCAGAGGAAGAGGTAACACTGGAAGCTGAGTATCTCCTCAAACATTAAAATACCATGTTTGGCAGCGACTTCAGTTGGAATATCTCTGGATTAATGACTGTTTACTGGTCCACAACTTAAAACAACATGTTTTGACACGACCAACCTTTGTGCTTGACAATCTATCATTCCACCATGGGGTTCAACAACCTCTTGAATTGCATTGTTATCACTGTATTTTGTGGTTGACTAAAAATACATTAAGATACAATTGAATCAAAATGAAATAAACCTGAGCAACTTTTTCTTTAATTATAAATAAAAATGTACAATCTAAACATGACCACACCCACATTCTTTAGATGTTAGACAAATGAAAGTGATGAATGTGTACTCAGTGTCATGAACAAACTTGTATATTAAGTAAAAAGGTAGGATTAAACAGATAACATTAACACTACACCTGGAATAAAGAGACAGTGAGATATGAATGTTTGTCTAGATAGGTTCAATGCAAGTTTCTAATTTGGAGAGAGAATGTACATACACAAGCTCAAAAAGTGGATACCAAAAACATCAAAAAGTGACTTGTTGGGTGAGAGGTTTGTGCAGATGTGAGTATTGATAGTCTGGAGTCTGGGGTAAAATATAAACATCCAAGAATTTTGGAGTCAACAAATGAAGTACACAGTAGTCAACTTACATGAAAAGCCAATTTTTCCAGAAAATGAACAACTCCACTTGGATATGCCACTTCATATCTGGACCCAGAGTCAATCACAACTAAAACACCATGAAAATCAAAATTTTATAAAATGTTCCATGTACATTGTGCTCAAACTTTCGTTATAAAACTTAATCTTCCAATAAATTTCTTTAATTAAATAACACATAAGTGCATTTGAGAGAACTACAACAAAATATGTCAGTATCATAAAAACTTTAAAAACAGATATCCGTACTTCCAAAAGTACAACAATCCCCAAAACTCTTCTCTGATGCCACCCTGAGTCCATTCTCCAATGTGGTCACTTTAGTCTCGTGCCGTTCCTTACTGGCTACTGCATACCTCACATTGGGCAGACCTGGGAGTCTTTCTGATAATGAGAGTTTTTCTGACTGGTTTTCATTGCAGAACAACCGCTGTATTTGTACCGAAGGATGGTTACTAGAATAGAAATAGCTGGGAAAATGCATTTTCAATGCTTTGTATTATATACAGTGTGTCTATTAAAATAAAGTAATACCAAATAAAGGAAATTTGATAAAATGCGATTCAAGCTGCTTGAGTGCTATGACTTAAATTGCCTCTGTGTTCTGCCTTATATGCTGTGCTGTGGTATAAACTCTCAAGGCTAGATTTGACATCACTTACAGTGTACGTAGGTATTATACATGGCACATAGCTGGAATAAAAAGACTAACCCTTTATCAAAGAGTTGTGTGAACCAATACAAATCACACTTGGCTGTCACCTTGATTGGTTAGAAAATCATTGTCATAAAATCGATTCATGATTTCAAAATTGTTTAGACTCTAAAACGACAAGGACTTCGTTAGCACTTATTGTGGATTTTTACCGATGTCCAAGTGGGATTTACATACGATGAATGGAATTGTAGGCTAGGGTGTTAAATGTAAGTGGAGTGAGTTAGAGTGTGATTTGATGGCTGTCTCTATTTTATCTTGAATTTTTAATGCCCGTGTGGGGTATTCTTGTTATGCAAGCTCTCTCCATTATACTGTATGGGGCCCTATGGGGATTTAATGAAATTCGTTCTGAATACTTAAAACGACTAAGGTGGGTTTTTCAGCTTTATGGTAGACAAGCATAGTAATGTAAGGTCGTTTTATGTGGTTTTAAAGCTTATGCGCCCGATTTTTAAATCACGTAGCTATTTTACGACAATCGTTTTCTAACCAATAAACGTGAAAGCCAGTGGACGATGTTTGACACACAGTTTCCCCAGAGTAAGGATATTTGCAGCCTTGAGAATTCTTCACACAGGGTGGAGTGAAGTTTTACCCTGTGGTAAGTACTTAGCCTGTTAGGCCAAAAACTGGGGCAACAACTACACTGTAAGTTGAACGCAAAATGACAAATGCAAGACCATGGCACAACTTCACGTTTGAGATGAGAGGCATCAAGAAGTTAATCAAAGATCAACACTTAAAATTCTAAGAATCTTTAAACATTTGTTAATGTTCTAACGTTTTTTCAAATTAACAGTAACACTCACCTCTTTATTTGCCCACAAATTCTAGGCCACCGAGAAAATAAGTTGACCATGCGAGCACTTGCCATTTTGCGGTCTGTGGGTACTTTCGGCATGTCGTTATTGTTTCTAGTTTCTTTCACTGCCCTGTAAATGTATGACTAATCTCGTACAAAATTCAATGTCAGGTCCAAGACATAACAGAGATTTTAAGAACGTCAAATCCCTAAAGCTGACAAAAAGGGGTCGTGGTAATTTTAATAAAATAATATCAGTAGAAGAGAAATTGTTTATGAAACATTTTATTTGCCTTGGGAAGCCAAACAAAAACATTTTAAAAATACTACATATATAGCACTACCAGAAGTATTATGGCGTTCTTTGACTGGGCAATGTGCACTACAACTATTTTTTGCACTTTTTTTTAGCATTTATGTATATTTTTGATTCAGACTGATTTACATGTACAAATGCAGTGAAACAGTTTCAGTGAAAGAAAATTTATTTAGCAATTAATAAACCCAATTTAATAAAACATTGTTTGACAAGGAGAAAAAAGTTTACATACTGTAATATATACAACCAAAAATAAAATGCTCAAGGTCCAGGTCTTACAGGCACAACAATACATATACACTAAGTATTACCATAACCCTGCAACAAATAATTAAGATAATCTGACAAATAATATTTCAATAATACTGATTATTTTTCAAAAAATAAAAATAAAAATAATAATAATAATAATAATACATTATTTTCCATGAATATAAATGACAAGCATATCTATAAAGACAAATCAACTTTTGTATTAACCCTTTTACACCCAGATTTAGAGAAAATAGGCAATTCTTCAGGAAAATAAAACATCTGTTCACTTATATGTTGAACAAGCTTTTCACTAGGTGCATAACCTTTCTCTTTCAAATCTCTTTCTATGCACCTCTTAACATGGGTTTTCTCCAAGGGCAGAAAGGGGACATATGCATCAATTAGTCCTTTTTTATGAAGAGCATGAAACCACATATTGGTTTCAGCAGCAGACTCAAATAAATAGGACAGTTCACTGTAAGTGATGTCTTCTCTCTGTCTTCCCTCTCTCAGAGCATCTAAGATAAAAAGATTAATGGCTTTCCCTTGAGAGTTGCTCAGAAATATAACAATAGTTTTTGCTTTAGCTTTCCAGTCTCTCAGCTCTTCAAGTGTTTCCTGCATCCCTAAAATGAGTCCTGGGTTTGCTTTATCCATTTCATCAATTATGAACAAATTTATTGCACAATTTGATATATTAGATTTCATCCACTCTGTAATCTGATGTTGATACATATTACTATTCATATTAGATGGATTAGGGAAATGCAGTGGAATTATAAATTTGTGTTGTCTGACATTAGGTATGTTCTCAGCAATAATGGAACTCATATAGTTCTTTCCTCCACCTGTCCAACCATGAAAAGAGAGCACTAATGGCTGAAAAGCTGTCCTATCCTCCAGGTATTTCTTTATTCTGCTCAGGCTGATATTTACAGCCAAGTGTTGCCCAAATACCTTTTCCTTGAGAGCCAGCTCCAAGACTGTGAAATTCATGGTTAAATGTCCACAAGTAGGATGTGTCACTTGCCTTAAAACACCAATTATAATCATAGATAACACAAGTATTAGACAAAAACAGAGCCTCCTCTTTAGGCAAAAAGTATTTGATTGTATTGCCACATTATTAGCCTGTCTACTGGTACTTTGCACGGCATTTACAGTTTTATGCTCTTTAATATCTGTCTTAGGTCTTGTTTTCTTGCTTCGTGGAGTATCTGCAAAAAAACATTATAAGTTTTAAAATATAGTATAACATAAAATTAAGAAAAGTACTGTATCTCCTTTTTCAAATTTTGTAAGACCCTTGATTATGAAACTGAGTTATAAAAAACAGTGAAGCATTTTGAAATTTACTCCAAAAATTTGGTAAAATACATTTACATATGCACACACACATCCAAGTGAAAATTTGTGAGAAGACATTTTTTTCAAAAATACACACTATGATTAAATTGTCCTGCATTCTACTATCAAAAATGTCAAAAAGTCACCTTAAAATAAACCAAGATGCTACTTTTTTAGATATGGTTCCAAATAATAAACTAATGCAATTTGTCATGATGTTTGATACATGTATAAAATTACGTTGTATGAAATTTTAATTCCATAAAATGTAGAGTTGTGACTCACAAGCCTGTGTCAAGTTTCTCCCAGGGGGATGGGCACTGGGAGTGGGACCTCGGCAGGGGCTGTCACATCTCTCCCTTCTTTTAACAGGTTTGCACAGAAACTGGTCAAGGGTTGTTTGTCTTCTCGATAGGACATATTTACTGCTTGGGCTTTCATTCAGTGTGCTATTATCTCTTGACACTATCCCAAGTTGCTTCCTTTTCGGAGTTGACAACTCAGACATATTTAGTGGGATTTCCTGTCAGAAGTAAAATGCTCGTACATTTGTACATGTACATTCTGATTAGGCTTTGTCTTGTGGCATCTAAATTCGTTCATTTTCAAGAATCCTGAAATTGATGCAAAACTAATTCATCACAGGTTACCGCTCATCCAGTGCGTTACAAATCAAAACTTCAATTGCAGGGAAAACAATCGAAATTCTTGGTAAACACATGCACCACCTTCAAGTAATTAACCTCAGTCAATGGATCAAAGAGCATGCACTTGTTACGCCTGTCACCTTTGAAGTTGACCTGTCATGTGTTTAGTTTCACTTCTGTCACGTAAGTAACACCGGAAGCACGTGCATTGAGTGCAAGAGACACGCATTTATCCATTCTGCGCATGGAAAACCACGCCCTTTCCGGTAAACATAAAATTACAACTCCCTTTCGTTCTCCAGGGCCCGGTTGCACCAACAGGGCGTAAATTTACTCGGCTACGACTGTCGTAAACCGCAACGCCTGGCGTCCGTGCGCCAGGTTTACTCTCCCTGCTTACGCCCGTTGCACAAAGACAAAAACTGATCGTCGCAACTACGCCTGAGTAACGCTCTGTTGCGTCACTGGCCAACAATACGTGGATGGTATAATTGGGCAAATGAGGAGTTCTCAGCTGCAGTCATAATGGAATGATGACATAAATAAACACAAAAAGGAGCATTTCAGTGACGGAGAAATTCATGAGCTAAATTATTCCATTTTGATTTAGAAATAAGAACGTTAAAATACGTTAACTTTGCTGTTGCCTTGGATATATAGCAATAAAATCGTAAATATATTCCGAATCAAAATATTATTATAGTGTGCTATGTATGCTATTATAGTATGCTGTTGTAAATGAGAAAAACGCGTTGGAGGCAGTACGTATTTCTATTAATGGATTTTAACACCTTCACATTTGTTATTGAAACTTTTGAGTCTGAAAATAATGCAAAAACGCCAACATTGCTCTCTTTTTATATTTTTACAACAGTGCCGACAATTTCATGACTTTCTTATCTATGCTTACACCGTGAGAGATCATTTAATTCAATTGAGCTTACATCTTGGAGATTAAGAAATACAAGAGACCTAATACACATTATATGAGCCTTAAAATGTTGATATTTTAAGCTTTCGTCTCTCTCTCTCTCTCTCTCTCTCTCTCTCTCTCTCTCTATATATATATATATATATATAGCAAAATATAAATGATATAAAATGTGATTATGGTTTGTCAAAAATTGTGAAAAGAAAAAGAATTAAAGTGAGAATTGGTGAGAGCCAAGACGTACCTACATGAGTGGTAAGATTTTATTTGAACTTATGCATATACATGTACATGGCTACACATATAATGTATTTAGTAATCACTTATATATATATATATATATATATATATATATATATATATATATAGGCCTAATTAGTTTTTTAAAAACCAAGCTATACAGACGGAAGATTTGAGTAAGAAGCTAACTAATAATAACCCACATTTTCAACGTTAACTTCGATAATTGTCATCAAACTCTCTCTGTGCCAGCCTAGCCATAGTGCAAAACGAGCTACGACCGACTTACACCTCCTAGCTGGCAGGCGTAAATTTACGACTAAGTTAAGACCGACGTAAACACTATTCTAGTTTGGTGCAACTGGCTTAACTCGGGCGTAGCGATTTGCGCCTGGTTTACGCCGGCGCAACTGCTACGCCTCACTTACGACTGGTTGGTGCAACCGGGCCCAGGCCCGTGTAACTCGAAAGCATCGTGCATTGCGACCGAGCGCAAGCGTCTTGATTCCACAACTCGCCCATACTCGCCCCATATATTATGTTATATCGCTATTCGCAATACGCGTTGCTTTCGAGTTACGGGCCCCAGGTTGTTTAGAGGAGTGGGATGGGGGTGTCCACAAAGCGTTAAAATTTTCCTTTTTCCCAGTCTGTCGGGTCTATCAGAAGTTTCTTACTTTCATCTGCTAAGGGTCTAGAGTACCACACTTTATAGGCCTACAAATAGCATGCTTAAAATAAAAAATTCCCCCCTTCCTCAACACTTCTTTGCCTTTACAGCCATTCCACGTAAAATGTTTCAATTCCAGATCGAGAAATGCAGAAATACGAGTTCGCAAAACTGGGAAACTTTTTAAAATTTTCTAAAAGAAAAAAGTTATAAAGAGGCATTCTGAAAGGAACAGAAGTCAGAATTTTTACCTACACCATTACCTCTGCACGTGTAGCTGATGTGTAAACACGGTACACCATTTTCCTTTTTTAATGGAGGTTATAACACCTCTGTTGGGTTATAATTCAATCATGCCATAGGTCTTAAGTTAAATTTTTCAGTTTCACTAATTTACCTAGATTTTGTAAGTATTAGAAAATATGACTGCCACTTAAGGATTTCTGACCAACTTAAAAGAAATATGTGCGGTGCAAACATTTCGGTAACAATTCTCTCCCCAATTGTCTACATGTAGGCCTATCTGTCTATCCCTGTGGATGGTGACGGCACCTTGTTGGGTTTTGTGGGGATGAAGTCACACTAATTGTAAGAAAACAAAGCTGTAATATTTTCATGTCCCTTTTTAGGAAGAAATGTTTTCATGCCCTAAGAGATGTTTTTTAATATACATGTAGTGCTATCAATAAATGTATGATATATAGGCCCTAGAGCCTAATCACTCAGCAGACACATAATCTAATATGCAGGTGAAAAAAATGCAATTTCGTTACGGATGTTTCATGTACGTCAAAATGCGACAATATTTGTTTTGGTAATTGTCAGGTAAAAACTATAACTTTGGCAGCAGCATTCGTGATTAGTAGAATTACAGATATGACAATCATAGATCACATTACATTATAAAATAGCAAAATTAATAAAATTAGTCATTGGTTGCAACTGGGTACGAAAGGCGTTTTGCTTGCATTTCAGACACTTAAAAATGCAAGGACGATTTTCGTGATACAGTGTATCATATATAGAGAGAGAGTAGACTTTNGCTTTCTCATGGACGCGCTCTTAACAGTAAAAAAATCTGTCAATATTCCACACATAATGCAAAAACATTTATTCTTCCTTCTTTCACTCACATACTGGGGTACATAGTTGAACTAATTTTGAAATGAACCATGCGCTACCTCCAGAATAACGTCAAATGTTATATTTCTTTACTTGAATCTGTTTTTAAATTGGTTTCTTTTGCTACTTTTCTTTTTTTTTGCAAAATAGTTTGTAATCTAGAGTGGCGTATTAGACACGCTGAAGGGTTCAGAAAGAGAACTAGTTTTGGAAACAGGTTGGATATATTCTCTTAAAATATTTTGCGAGTTAACTACTATCCTAACTTTAGATTTTAGCGCTCTCTTTCGGCGTACCCATTGTTTCACAGCGACAGAAGTCACTGTGCGCGATGATTGACGTTTGTTTATATAACCTGCCAATCAAGCTGTTATTACTTGACAGCAACTATCAAAACTAAGTGAATTTGATCAGCACCTTGTCAATCAAAGGATGTAGGACGATTGAACTAAACGTGTTCGACCACTATATAGTGATCCACTGTGTAATTATTGTAATTGACCTTTGTTTATATAACCTGCCAATCAAGCTTTTCTTGACAGCAACTATCAAAACTTATGAATTTGATTGGCATCTTGTCAATCAAAGGATGTGAATATTGGAGTTTTACATGTTCGGAGCGAAGAGTGTAGTAATTGTGTTTGACGTTTGTTTATTAAAGTCGTGTGCGCTTGACAGCTTCCATCAAAATTGAATTAGCCCGTTTGAATTTGATTCATACCTGTCTATAACAATACATGGCGTAAAATTCTGGAGGTAGGGGACATTTTATTTTCTTTTTTGCAGTGCGTTAAAAAAACGGCGGGTTCTTTATTTCAACCGAGAGACTAGATGGAATTTAACAACGTGAAAGAGTCCCGGGTTCTTTCGCAGGCGTTTTTAATTTTACTAAAAATCAGTTGTCAATTTTTTAAAAATTATTTTCTGGGTATGATATAAAATGACTATACATGAATTAGCGTTGTTGTCGATGTTTGTTGCTTTATAATCTTTTCCTTGGTTCTCGTACGAAATCGGAACTTCGTATATATGAACTGAACATATTACTTTTATCATATTCATGTTCTTTTAGACTCAACGAATATTTTTGGATCATTAAAAAACGAATGGTATAAAAAGTAAAACCATGTCATTTTTTTTCGTGAGCTATGGAGAGAAAAAATGCCGAGATAATGATGTTAGTGGCCAGGTAAAGAAAAAAGTGCCGGTTTTGTTCGTTCCTTATAAATGGCCTGGGCAATAAGTAGCCCGTCGCTGTATTTCGACATGAGCGTGCGTGAAAACTGTTATTTTTAAATAAACTACACATTTAAAACTGCCAAATTAAAATTGAAAACAATTTTATTTAATGCATTAACAATCTTTCGAGCTTTATTCTGCGATGTATTGCTAGTACTTCATAAGTATAAAAACTTCAGATTTCAATAACGTGTGAAAAATTTAATATTAAAATAAACTAATAGTGGAATAAGTCGGGCTGGTTTAATCAAAATTCTTAATGAAATTCTTGGTCTAATTTATTGAAGTTTTTAGTTCATTATTTTATTGGTAAAAAATGATCTTTTCATTATATATAAAATGGATGCTACACCGTATAAAAATTAATATTTGATCGAATATTTACTTGAAAACATACTTATTTATCTAATTATTTTATTTTATTTTTTAAGTTAAAACAAAATTAATTCAGTATTAACAACATCATTTTTGCTCTGCCTCATCTAGCACATTCTATGAAGTTTTTGTCTGAAGGCGCATACATGTATTATGATGTAATATATTTCCTGGCATGCTTTTTGCAATTCATATTCTACGTGCAGTATATTATGTTTCATACCGCAAGTGAGACTAAAAATGAAGCTTTTTTTTTCTCTCGGTAATATTTTCAACTAATCTATCATAGAGAAACATCTTTAACTTGTTTCTATAACCCAGCTTATAGGTAAAAACCTTCCGTAGTTTAGAGCTCAGGTCGAGAGAGGAACCGGGGGCAATAGGCGAGTCTTCACATTCCTCTCTTTTAAAATACGTAAACGAAAGAAGCGCACTCAAAAAATTGCGTACGATTCAACTTCATATCTTGGCTTCCTTTTGTCCCAAATTTGCCCTTAAAAATACCCACAGATACTGAGCTTACTTAAGCCCCGATTTAAGGGTCATTCACAAATAAACTCAGTACCGAAATGTCATTTAGTTCCATTCTTATTGTTCAACCTCTCTCGCTCTATC